CAAAAACTGATAGCCGCTGCAAATTAAGGCAAATAAATGACCTAATTCTATATTGTTGTGTTTATGCGTTTTATTCGAAATAATATGAATAATATTATTCTGTTGGTCATTGCATTAAATGGGTTTTTGTTTTCACTCATTAAAGTTATGAATGTCATCTAATTTTCGTATTATGTGAAAGCATTTATGTTGGCCATTAATAAAGCCAACTAAGTTCATGCCTTTTGGACGAGTGTAATAATCCCAACTGCTTTATTTCCGTCCACAAATTAAATGCAAATTGCAAACTGTGTTTGGCTTGTGTTTGGTTTTTAAATATGAAAGTTATCTGGCGAATCAATTTAATAGACAGGCAGAGCTTTTCAAATTATGCAATCATATTGAATTATATTTACACCGAAAACTGCATTTCAATTATGTACTTAGTGTAAATCCCACGGAGATACTTTCATTAGCGCATTAAAATGTTGTATTCATATTCTTCACTATTAAATGTATTACAATTTGTTATTTTATTAGCTATTAATATTGCATTTATTTATTTTATTGATTCATATATTAATCCTTGACTTTGTGTCATTTTGTCATTTTGAGGCTCAGATTGCATTCGCCAAGGATCAAGCAAATATACATATATTAACAAAACACGGCTTTTGAAGTAGATATCGAAATGGAAGTTAAAACTTTTTATAAAATGTTAGCTCCTTCTGGTGTAAAGCTTAAAACCCAGCAAGTTGTGTTTATTTTTAGTAGGAAATCAAGTGGCCAAATAATTTTTATGAGTGCTAGACACGAAACTTCACTTCGACGAATTCTGATATAATGAAGTTTGATTATAATGAAGACAGAATACGACTATCAAATGCCCTGCACGCACAGAATCTTCATGTTGCATGGTGATAAGAAGAATATACGTACAAAGTGGGGTCAAAATTCAGCTGTTCATCCAGACAGGCGGACATGTCTAGATTGAATTCTATCGTCAGGCTGATAAAGAATACAAGTATATGTACTGCAAGGGGTCGGAGATACTTGCTTCTGTTTTTTACATACTTTGTACAATCTTATAATATAACCTTTTTCCTAATTAGATTGATAGATAGATTGTAAAAAAAACTGAAAATTGGGGCGTGCAAAATAAATAAAACAATTTTCCGACGATGGCCAACCATCGCAACCAATCCGTAAGCCATAGATTCGTTGAGTGTCGTACTGTCCAGTCAATCTACTCTGGCCTCTTTAATAAATCCCTGCAGTAACCCTTTATGTCCAATTAGTACGTCATTCATTTTCCAGATACTCAGCTCTTCCATCAGCTAAGCCAGTTGTTACGTTTGCTGACAAGTCGCCACTGATAAGTCAGGAAGCTTTGCCGATATAAAAGCTGTGCAGACCAGCCACTCTAAGGCCACAATTAACATTTGGACGATTAAAGTGACGGAGAATTCTTCACGAAAAGCCATCAACAATGTAAAGGCGATAAAAAAAAATATTCTTAGCCCATTTTTCGGTACATAAGTGTGTCAGACATGAAAGTGTTTTTATGCCCTGTACCCAAACGGTAAAAGGGTATATTAGTTTTGTGCGAGTGTACATGGAGCACACAGAAGGAGGCGTGGCAGACCCCACAAAGTATATATATTCTTGATCAGAATGACAAGCCGAGTCGATATAGCCATGTCCGTCTGTCCGTCTGTCTGTCCGTCTGTCTGTCCGTCTGTCTGTCTGTCTGTATGAACGCAAGGATCTCCGAAAGTATAAGAGCTAGAATAACCAAACTTGGTATACAGATTCTCCTGAGACCGAGAAAGGACGAGTTTGTTCATTTTTTCTGATCCACCCCCCACTCCCCCCTATTAACGATTTTCCATAACTCCCGTAATTCTTGGACTTTTGAACTAAAATTTGATAATCCCACCCAGTTAGTGATTATATGACCGTATACAATATTCATCATGATAGGTGACTTATGAAGAAAGCTATAGCCATAAATAAAATTGCTGCCATGCTCTGTCTGCAGCTTTGCCCGTAGCTGTTGTTGTTGCTGCTTTGGTTCAGCTTTGTGCTACATACATACAGGGTGCGCCATCTTTTATGTCGGTATGCAAACATTGAATATCCTTGAAAATAAACAACCGATTTTCAAGTATGAGATATTTTTATTTAATTTGGTTCTGTACAATTTCTTGAACTGAGGTTTTCAACACTGGTCTACTCAAGTCAATCGGTTCACTAATCACAAGGTTACTCAATATCTACATACCGACATAAATGATGGCGCACCCTGTATACGCAGAGACACGATTCTGATGTAAATTTATTATATGCATGTGTTGAATATTTTTTATTTAATTAAATTAATTTATTAACTTTTTTTAAATAATTTTTTAATTTTACTGTCGGCTTGCTCGACTGTAGAATTCTATCTTGTTTTCGGATAAAATGTATAACTCTCTAATATTGAAATTGTATTCAAATTGATGCCTTTTTTGCTAAATAGCAAAAATGTCGATATGCCTTTCATTATCCCATCAGCTAACAATTCAGCAGGAGTCCTTTGTTGCCATCATTTTCTACTTGGTCGCTTAGCAACTGAAGTTGCGTTCTCGTATGCACCCCACGGTGTGGCACATCAAAGAAAATGCCGAGACGTAGAGCTCGGCATTTTTCTCTCCAGCTGTTCTTCATCTTGGCACGTTTACTCATAGCCGTCAACAATTAGTGACAGTGTCTGCCTCTTGGCAGCGGCGTAAAACGGAGAAAAAATGTTAATTTAAAGCAATTTGTAGAAAGATAAATCTAGTTGATGCCTGAGGTGTTAATGTCGTGTCAAGAATGAGAAGTAGGGGGAAGCATGTGAAAACGAATTACACAGGATTTGCAAGCAGGTGAGGCTGGCAAGGAAAGCAAGCATTGAGTTGTAATAAAATATTTGTAGTTCTTCAAGCCACTAGCCTCGAAATCCAGCAGCTTCAGCAATGCCAAGCTTTAAGGAATCGTGAACTATGCAGAGGCAATAACCAGCTGCCTAGCGCTGGCAACCAAATAGGCTCATAAATTTTCAACAATTTATAATTTCACACCTTCGGCCGTAAGCGAGCGAGGCAAAGCGAAAAAATGCTTAGCCCATTTGCTCGGGCGGCTTGTCAGTGGCTAAAATGACAAATGTTCGCCAGACAGGCAGGCAGGCAGGCAGCCGGGAAATTGTGTGGCAAGTTGGTAAGTGGGGAAAACTTAGGCAATGACAAGCCAGCTAGCGGCTTTCAATGATGGCCGATGGTCGGAAGGTGGGTGGGAAAACTTTTGTTTGCTTGTCGCTGCTCTAATGATTGCCACAGCTCGTTACAGTTAGAGTTACAGCTACAACAGCTGCCGTTGCATGTTAGCCTAAACTTAATCATAGCCAGTGCAAATGGTGGGCCACTTTGACAGTGTGGGGCGGGCCTGTGGATGGCACATAATGCCGCCGTGAGCTCGTAAGAGGCAAGCCAAGCAGCCAGCAATTTATGTTGACATTTCATATTGGTCTAATTAAAAAGATTCCAAGTATGGTATGCAAAAGAAAATAGTACCAGAATAACAAATTGCAACAGCAACCGTGGCGTGAAATCGCGATGCCACAGCACAAATGCCCACTAAAGCGCAAAAGGTAAAGTGAATGAATGCTTTTAAAATTGTTGGTCCGATGATAAAAATCGGCGAGAAATGGCAATTACGCGCACCTTGGTGAAGAAAAGTGTGAGAAAAAACGAAATTCTTTCCGCGCAGTCGTGCGCAAAAATTGTGGCAGCTATTTAAGCATCTTTGCAGAATAATAGAAACATTTGCGAAGATTATGATTAATGGTTTGGAGAAAAGTGGAAAAATGCTCCTTGTTGATGGCTGCTAATATTCATAATCGAAGCAACATCTAAAGCCACTTCGGAATGTAATTTAGCTAATAGCTGCTAATAGTTTTTCAAAGATTCTTCTTCTTTGAAAACAAAAGATGTACTTGCAAAGATGATTTGTGGTTTGGGAAAGATAGCTGCAAAAAAAAATATGCTTTCTTTTGGTTTAAAGAACAGTAGAAAGAAACAAATTAATAACTTGAGGAAAACTAGAATGCAAATAAAGCTTGAAGAAAAGTGAAAATAATTCACTGTGCTGATAGTTTGATAAAGCTTGTTTGCTTATTTGTTCAGTTGAAGCAACATATAGAGCCAGTTTTGAACACAATTTAAAAAGTAGATTCTACTTCAAATTACTTACTTTAGGAAAAATGGAATTACTTGCAAAGATACTGAGTTAAAGGCTTAATGGTTTGAAGAAGCTTGTTGCTAATTTGTTCAGTTGAAGCAACATTTAGAGCCAGCTGTGAACATAATTTTAAGAGTACTAGCTTCTATTAATCTTAGCATTATTATTTTTATCTGCATTAGTTTATGGTTTATAGTTAAAAAAAGAAGTGTCTTTGTTTACAAAGACCTTATGCCAGCTTGTAATGTTTATAAATGAATCAATATCTGAAGCCATTATACTTGTACAACATACTAATGTTCCCCAGTTTCAATAATTAATTTACTTTCATAGCCCTTATACGGAAATTTCAAACTAAAAACTTGAATTCCTCTAAGGTCTGAAACATTTCCATTGCAGCTTTAAATGATATAAAACAGAATCCAATCCTGCACTAGAACAAGGTGTCTTCATTTAAAATGGTAAAACACATAAAATAATATATTGAATCATAAAAGTTTTTGAATATAGTTTAAAATACTTTGGCTAGTTTGGCGGTTTTAACTTTAATTATTCAGAAGTTAGTGACGTTCATACAGACAAACAATAGTAGATCCTCAGACTGAGATACTAATCAGTAACCTATCGATAATCGATAACTGCAAATGAAGCACTAACAAACAAACGGGCAAGCAAGCTAAGCAAGCTCCGTGCTCTTGTTGATTAAAGTCTGTCAGTTTTTGAAAACTACAAATACTATTCAAATAGGAAGTCACATCAAAATGTGGCCCAAATTTGGAAGTCGCGTTTGCGTAATAAGACTGCTTTTTTTCACTTTACTGGTTTTTGGAGGTCTATCATACTTCCTGTTTTCCTCAACGACGTTTGATATATTTCAGAAGAAGAACCCTACGAAACGGCCCCCTTACTCAGACTTGCCGCATTTCCAGTTGCAACAGAATGGCGAATACTGGATATTCAATGACTTCATAGAACCCGACTGTAGAAACATTTGGGGAAAATCAAGCATTACGTTAACCACCCATGCCACCTACATAGACTTTAAGCTACTCGAGTGGCTGCTTGTGCGCTGGAATGCGCCCATCAGCATGGCTGTCTATGTGGATGGCGAAGACTTTGAGCGGACGGTGCAAAGCTTCTACCACATCAAGTTTTGCTCAGTTATCGGCAAGAGTTTCTTCCAATGGGTCTCCGTACAGCTTGTCTTCCACAATAGTCATTTTCCAAGGAAGCTACGACCATTCAGCCATCAGAGGCCCAGGAAGTTGCGTTGCAAGACCCTCTACCAACGAGGACGTCCGAACGAGACTTCTTGGTATAAAAACGATTTGACATATCCTTTGTCCTTGCTGAAGAATGTTGCGCGTGCAAATGCGCGAACCTACTACATTTTCTCGCTGGGCTTGGACATGTTGCCACCACGCCGATTTGTCAAAAATTTCCTAGATCTAATGGATACCATTCAGGTGTCGGTGAAGAGGTAAGAGAGAGTACCAAGTCAGTTCAATTATGTGTAGCTGATGAAATGATGCCTTTGCTGCCTAGTGTCTTTTGCGTGCCTGTGTTTCCCCAACTTACTGAAGATATGCTGGTGCCGAAGGACAAGTCTGAGCTGCTCACCCAACTCTGGCCCTATTTCAACGGCTCGATTCCGCTGGTGATACCGGATGACGAGCTACAGCGACTGCGGGACTTGTTTTCCTGGCTCCTGCAGCCGTTGGTCGATGTGGAGCAGGCAATCTTTAAGATTAGCAAGCAGCCGAATAATTGCGATGCCTATGTAAGCATCAATCACTTCGAGCCTATTTATGATCAACACGCCGCCGGATCCCTGCAGGAGCAGCATTTGAGCCATGTAAGTGTGCCAAGAAATTAAAGTGCAACCTTCACTCTTACCTACAAATTGCAATCAATCTATAGTTGGAAGTGCTAAGCGGCTTGAATTTTGATTTTATCGTGCTGGGCGGTGCATTTCTCATCAAACGACATGCACCCATTTGGCAGGATGTGGAGCCGAGTGAGTATCCTGTAAGAATGCCGGATCCAACGCCCCACATAAGCGACCTAATCGTATTGAGCTCCATGGTACTGTAACGGCCCCTACTCCCTCCAACTGAGCAATAAACGCAATAAAGTCTATTGCATTCCCCTGCACTTAATCAAATTGTCTGACTGCCTGCCGTCTATATTACTGCCCTGTGCCCCCACTATTCCTCACTCTGTAATGCCATTAGTTGCGCTAAGTTTTAGTTTTCATTCGGCATCATTTTTCATTTTCTTTGGCACGCCCGGCCCGGAGATAAGCAGCTGAGCGGCATTGCACGTTTTTTTGAGACTACTTTGTCTCTGTGCTGCCCAATGAAGCGTTCTATTAAAGGACCTTTAAAATGTACACCACAACTGAATGCTTTATGCTCTACATTACGTTACTATCCTTCTAAGCCTACTTAAGCAGCTCATTCAAAAATCCAATTAAGTTATTTAGAGAAGCAGATTAGAATCCCGTGCAAACTCTATCAAGCAATTTCCAATTAAACTTATTGAAGGTCAGTCAGCATTGAGCAATGGTATTTCTTTATAAATACACGAGTATTTACGGAATACTTGTCCATTAATCGTATCATGCCTGAGCCTTTTCTTGTGAAGTAGCACCTAATTCTACTAGTGATTTTGAATGGAATTTGATAATAACATTTGTAATTAATTAGAGATTATAACAAATAAAGAAATCCCATAAACGACTGGATGTTATTTTAGCTCATTTCCTTCATGCATGATGAGAGACATTAAAATCTTATCACGCATCAAGGGTCTATATTTCCCTTGATGATCGACAGTAATTCGGCAAAATTCTGTTACTGGCGAATTGGGCAAAGATAAGAATTTTGGCGCCAAGCAGAATGAGGTTTAATCGATCAAAACTATTTTCTTAATATTACATTTGATCAATTTTCTAAATTTGTAAAAATTATCTACACATATGTGCAGAGTATTTCAAAGTCGGGGCCTCGATTTTAGCTGTTCTACTGTTTTTTTTTTTTTTTATATCAATGGCAATCAATGCTTACTGCAGGAACATTAAGTTTAACAACCAAATTCATATTGGAACGAAAAAATGAATATCAATACGAGTAGATTTTAATTACTTCTATATGTCTTTCGAAAGTTCTAAGAAATACTTAGAAAAAAAACAGTTCCTGTAGAGAAATCTGTATCCCGTAGAGAAGTCTGATTTTTTTCTAGCCAACATTTGTTTGCTTATGCATTCTAAATCAAGGCTAAAGTGAAGTAAACCAATAAATATTAATTCCACTGCCCCCATTGCGCAATTACCACAATTACTTAAATCGGAGTGTTTGCTCAATTTATAAAAAAAAATCGAACAAATAACAAATTAAGCAAAAGCAACCACAACAGGACTAAAGTATCATAAGCATTAACCGGATGTATTTGCAATTGTGTTAAAAATTGCAGGAATTACGAGTGTTAGGGAAAATCACAAATAGCTATAGCTAATGATTCCTAATAACCTTCGGTTATACATCGCTAAATCGCGCCGTCTTTTCATCCCGATCAAGAGTATATATACTTTGGGGGTCTACAACTACAACGCCTCCTTCTACCCTTTGGGTGTAGAGTATAAAAAGGTCGTGTCGGTGTTGGTTTTTTGTTTCGTACGAACAACACAGCAAATAAAAAAGTTGTTAAAACATCACGGACTTTACCATTTGGCTGCTCTTTGTGCCTCTTTATAACTAATAATTTAATATTTTATGCATGACTTGCAAAATAAACACAAAATTTGAACAGAACATTTCTCCATTTACACGCGCATTTACACGCACATTGTCTATGCTGTTGTTGTTATATTTGTTGTTGTATTTGCGTTTCATGCAAAGCATAAAAAATGGCGACGCGCAACTTTCCGCACATAACTTTCCACAAAGGGAAAGTGAGCAGAAAAAGTTAATATTAACGCAACGGAACGCGACGAGACGCGGCTTCGCGGCCATTTTGACGCCAAACACGTAGCTTGTTTTGCATTCTCTTAGCCTGGCCCTTTGCCCGTTGGAAAATCTTGTTAGGTTGCCTTTTTTTGCTCCATTCCCTGCTTTTTTGCATGCTACCCCATAAATCGTTTATCTTTGGTTGTTTTGTTGTGCAAATTTTCCAATGCCTTGCCGTTTCGCATACGAAAACAATCAGGGAAGACGTACCTTTGCCAGCGAAAAAAACACAATGTGGGAGGCATACTTGTATACGAAAATCAGCTGCAATCCAGAGCTTATTGTGCTGTGCAGTGCACATGTTATTGCATATATTTTTTTCTTTCTATTCTAATCATATGCGCACTGATTTAGCCTACAATTAAAGAAACTAATATATCCCCAAACAAGTGTTTAACTAAATAAAGAATAAATAACTATGAAATACCGGATGATGGAGAAGGATAAAAGCTCATCCTGTTACAGCTTCAATTTCAATTACTTACTAGAAAAAGGCGCCGCAAATGCGGAGGATGGCCGACGACACAAATCTGTTTTTTCCCCATAAATTCATTTAATTTTATTGCTTTTTAAGGTGGAGTATTATCATGCAATAATAGCAGGTGTTCTACTTGGGAGTATTAGAGTAATAATGCACTGATGCGTGTGACATTTGGGCGGGACTTGGCTTATTGCTATGCTCAGAGGCAATCAGTCCAACAAAAAGGAGACATATGCAGGTAATCATAAGTTAAAAAAAAAAAAACTTCACTGTACATATAAGTGTGAAATTTATATATAATAAGTAAGAAGTAATAAATATTAATAATAAAGTATTACTTTTCGTTGTTAAATAAAAGCACTTTGCTTCATTTTCAACCTTATAATACTTATACGTGTCGTTAACGCTTGCTTTAATCGACTTACTATTGATGGCACTATCGATGGCTTTCAGAAAACAATAGCTAACTATCCACCTCTATACCGATTGGTATCCCGTTCTTAGCATGTTGATAAGGTATTTTATTAGTTAGAGCAAAATGGTTTATAGTGTAGTGCTAAGACTCTCTCCTAGTGGATCCATTTCGCTATTGAAGTTTGCGTCGTTTTTTTATTTTTTGTCATTATTAATACACTACTGTGACGACATATATTTTCTTATTATTCTTTATTTAAGATGTGTCCTCGGTTGGGCAATTATTCAATTAAATGATAACTTTTGACTTCGAATATTACATTGGAATTGTTTTTGAATAATATTGAAAACGCAATGTTCTCCCCGTTGTTAACTGTTTTTACCATTTAAATGTTTTTACCTTCTGATTCATTGTTGGCGTTTAAAAATAGTTCGTTCTGTCAATAATATTTTGCAAACTCTTTTAAGCCAATGCAATATGATGCGCTTTTAAATTGTTGTCTGTGGCAAAAATATTCAGTTTGTCTGCATTTTTATTCACAATTCTCGCTTGGCAGTTTTCACTGACTCTGCAGGGGGGAAGAGGAAGTTAATTTAATTTTATTACTGCTGCAATTTTCATATTTGTTTTTCATGCATTTTCCAATTTAAACAACTTTTCGGGCCCAGCCCACCACATTTTGCTTACAAGAAAAACTTTAAACTTACACACGCCTTGCACATCCTGTCTGTCTGCCTGTCTGCCTGTCTGCTTTTCCTTTTCCCGCCGTTCTCCGTCTTACTATCCAGCGTGTTGTCTTCTCAAGCATTTTTGCACTCTGCGGGCAGACAGGGCGTATGAATAATTAAATATGCGCAGAGACAGAGAGACGGAAAGTGGAAGACGCTGCACACGCTTGTACACGTCTTTATACATATTTATACATACATATATATAGGTGCATACACACACAGTACAGACGAACGCACACACTTGAGTTGCACTTTGTTTTACCCTCAACTACTTTTTGTCTTAATGCTTTTTGGCCCGTAAGGCTTTGTTTGGGTTTTGGGGCGCCTTTTCATTATATCGTCATTTGCATTTCTCATTTTCAGACGACGAGGCTTGCAGCATTCCCCTCCCCCATCGTGCCACAGCACACCTTTCCATGCCTTCAATTGTTCGCAATGCGTTGTTGCCTTTAAGTTTGCAAATATCAGTTATGTCATCAATATGTGAAACGTGCCGTAATGTTTTTGCTGCCGCATAAGTTTTCTGCAGCTGCACTTCTTATCAGCAAGGAACTTACAGTCCACATATTATTGATTGTTCAACAGTCGACAATAAAAGGTGCCCTTTGCCGATAAATGAAAGTTCTTCCAACTTACCATCTTGCTGATTTTCAAATGCTTTCAGTTTCAACTCAATATCATTGAGTTTGGCAACAAAAACCGCAATCAGACGGGTAACATTTTTGGGTAAGCAAAATACCTCAAAGGCATTTTTGCTTGCCGCCAGTTGTTGCAGGAATTTTTGAAACTCAAGACCAAGTTTGGGGTAATTAAAACTTTTTTGAATTTTTGTATTTGCAAAGCATAAGCATTTGATTAAAAGGCTTTGACAAATATACTCGTGCTTACAAAGCTATTAAAGGGGAATTTAAGACTCTTGCCGTGCTCAAAGAAGTATGTAACCTCAAACCGTATAGATGTAAAACAAAAGTTTTGGGAATTAATTCTTCTGACTTGATTGTAAGATTGAATAATTATGTAGGCGGATTATATATCTGCTTAGTCGAACTCTTACATCGTCAAAATCACTTCTTTCTCAGTTATGTACAACTGGATTAAGTTGCCAAAAAGGTAGAAGAAAACTAGTTTGAAAATATTAAAATTATGTACAATTATGCTTGTATCTTACAAATGTAAATACTTACTCAACAATACAAAATAAAAACCATTTAATTATTTTTTCCGCGATATGATTTTGGAATGAAATAGAAAATAAGAGTACTAGCCTTACTTCAAGTCCCCAGCCCACTGAAACATAAATTTTTAACATTCATTTAAGAAAGTTAATTACTTTTTATTTATTCATACTCAAATGTGTTTGATCATTTTTAAAGTGTCACGACGGAAGGAAGCTATTTTGATTAACTAATAATAGTGAATACACCCTATCATAAGGTGATCCCAATTGCTGTAATTAAGAA